CACCTTCGATCTAAATAGTCTCCAGTGTAGATTGCTAAGTTTTTGAGTATATATTGCGTCCATCTTGAATGGTAAAGGAGTTGACTTTAAAAACTAGCAGATGACATTTCTCTTGCAAGAGTGGCAGAGATCGCTTTCTTGCACAAACGAATCGTCCTATGTGTGATTAATTATCCTCCATTTTAAGCTCTGTGAATTAAGTAAATTCCAGCGAAGTTTGAAAAAAGCTAAAAGGATAAGAATTCTTAGCCTTTCTGCTAAATTTAATCACTTAACTAGAATTCTAGCCTTTGCAAAACACGTGTCAACGAACAGAGTAATGGTCTTTTGATCTTAAGGACGTGGGTGTGGAGTGTGGACGTAGGCGTAAGCGTGGAGTGCGAATGATAATGCACTCACACCTACACCTACACTCACATTCACCTTATATGTTGTAAATTCACATTGCAATAGAAAAACAGTTTTGTTCATCTCTACTCGCTGTACCAATAAATGCCTGCCGCATTTCTTCGACTATGTGATGGATTAGGCAAAGAATTTGCATAAATCTTCTTTCTTCTATATCCTAGTGTGTAGGAGCATCGTAGAGAACTGGTTGTTTTTGTTTAAAAATAGTTCATGATCTCATTTACAAACTTTTTTTTATAAAGTATTTTAGTCGAGCATATCGATTTTTTATGATATACCAATTATGTGCACTATCTGAAAAGCATGTTTATGGCATGAAGTGGTGCATGAAATTCCAACAGATCTTACAAGAAATGAAAATTTGTGACAAGAAATCTGATGGCGTGGATTCGAAGCTCTTTGCGAGTGCTATTTATTGGATGGCCATTACAAAGCTTTAACCATTCTCTATAAAACCATGTTAAAATGTTCTTGTTTAAATGAACAGTGGCTAAAGTGCAATAATCGTTCGAGAGGGCAAAAACTGTAAGTTACAATGGCTGATTTTGACAGATTTTATCGTCTCAAGATATTTGACTATTCTAAGGCTAGTGAAGCTAAATTATTTTAAAGAATGTATAATTCATAGCATTTTGGATGGATTATCGACGTTTATATTCGGATTTGATAGTTTCGCTTGTTGAAGAAGAAAATACTAAAATACGTTTTTTTTAAAAAGTCACGGACGAATGTTTCAGTTCTTAGAAATTTTTTAAGTGTGAGGCTATTTTGTTATATGAAAATAAAATATTTTGCAAACAAAGTTTGTAAAAGAGATTGTGGACTATCTTTCAAAAACCAATTAGTTTTCTATGATGCATCTACACGCAAAAATATAAAATGAAATAAAACTAATGCAAAACGTTTGCTTCATCGGTTATTTTACTTTTATTCTCCTCTGTGTGTGACCCCCTGACTAAGTGTTGAGCATGTTTATATCTTTTCTTTTCTTATTTGATGGATTAATCTGGAGTAACTACTATATAAGAATATGCAAAGAAGAAGAAAAGGAGAACTGGAATGGTGAAATAGTTTGTAGTCATCATCTATACCGAGAGTGACGGTAATGTTATTTCGCCAGTTTTTCATTAAATACGAAATAAAATAGATGCTTCCATAATAACGAAATGATCCACTTTTCATTTTCGTTACATTCATCTTAGACATATAAATATTAATTACGTATCTTCCGCAAAGAAAAGCATTTCAAAATAAGTAAGCTTAAAAAGTAAATAAAAAAAATTGCTTGAAATATTGAAGGGTGCAATCACTGATGCGAGGAAATACAAATGCGTGTAAAATTTAATGTTTCTCTCATTCAAGTCTGCTAGGATGATATTGTCAAAAATCTCTTCGACGAGAGTGTTGTAAACATCCACTAAAGCTCGCCAATGGTATTCTTCGTTTTTGTCTAGCGACAAGCACAAACGCAGATTCCAATACAATAGTACAAGCTGATAAGAACAACAACACTTGGCTCGAACAATAGTAATGAAGGGTTATTAAAATAAAACAGTGTGCAGTGTTGAGATCAGAAAGCCAAGTCACTACAAATAGAATCATCGCAATTCTAGTAATTAATAGGAAAATAATTGGTAAATAAGCTGCCAAGAATAGCATTGCTACTATAACAAAGTATGCTCGCTTGTTCAACATGTTTTTATTGGAGAATAAAGACGATTGTTGTGTTAGAACAGATATAAATGGTGGAATAACTGAATGTAAAGGAGAAAAAAATCGTTGTTTTTGCTCTCGAAAGTAATTATTCACAAATTTCTTTTGAATTCTCTTCATCAAATCATCAAAACGTCTCAGACGACGCGTGTTTACCACAGATAATTTTTTAAGTGAATATTGCATTGAATAATAACTTATTAAGCGAATTAATGATAATGGCATGAGATTCCATAAAATTATCTCGTCTATATGAAAGATGTTAAATGAATAGAAGTAACACCAAATAAAAATGAACAGGAGAAACATAATCTCAGAATATCGACTCTGAATCTTTAATATTTTTTCTTCAGCATCATCTAGACGAACTTGATCATCTATGCTATTATTTCTATTTAATGCATACGCTTTCTTATAACAGTCAAGTGCTTCTGACCAATGGAAAAGTTTTTTATGAGCATCACCAATAATATTTAATGTATCAGTAATGCAGTCCAAACAAGAAAATCCTTGTCTTGGTAGTAATTCTAAAAATTGTTGGCCAGCTTTAATAATACTATCATAATCAATTGTTTGATATTGATAAATACTAAGTAGGGAATCGTAAGCCGATCTGATCGTGAGCATTATTTCATCTTCTTCTTTATTCCATAACGAGAGAGGAAGTGCCAAACAAATTTTAATAATAGTTTCAGAGTATTCGATACTCGCAGCATAATCGCCTTTTGCTTTACAGATACTTGCAAGATTTGCATATGCCCAACTGCGACTTTTATAGTCCATTTCGTCATTAATCCTTAATACTTCATCAAGATATAATCTGATGTATTGCTCGGCTTTGCAATTGTCACTTGAAACGGGAGATCGTTTTCTAGATAGATCAGCAAGTAATATTAAGACTGGTGTATTCTGAGATTGTTCAAATTTCTTCATTGCTGATGCTAAATGTATATCATCATTTTCATCAACAAGTTTCATTTTAATATACCAGTACGTATACTCATTGTTTTGGTGGTCCACCTTTATTTGTTCTATAGATTCGAGTTGAAAAATGGTTCCCATGCAAAGCAGTATTTCTTGTTCTCTTGGTTTGGAACTTACGTGTCCAATACTAGCATAAGGTCTTTGTGTTTTGATAGATGTATCAATGCTATATTCAAACACAACAGATTCAAAGTTAGGATGTGGATTCCATATATTAGCAAACCAGTTCGCTGTATTAACATCTCCCGTCGTTGATAGAAAAGTATTAGTTGAATATAATTTACCAATATTTTTTCGAAGTTGATTCAATTCATTGGAAGAAATCAGTTGTCCTCTATATGCTTTTATTGGAATACCAAACATGTCATCATAAAATTTTGAATGGAGTTTCTGTAATTCTAGTAAAAGGTCAGAAATGAAATTACGAAATGTATATATTAAATCAATATCTTGTGTTCTACAAGCGTCATTTAATCGTCGATAAAGAAATGAATCTTGTGTATACCACCATATTGCAGTATGAAGTTTGCTTTGATAATACTCATTAGCAAATTTATCAATTTTTTTCAGTTCAATCGGATCGTTTTGGTAATATTGTCGACATTCTTCAATCATTTCCATCTTTGCATATGATGTCTGCGGCATTTGTGCAATGATATTTGTATAGTAACAGAATCTTTCTCCAGACACACTTCTCAATGACATTTTTAATATCTCTACACTTGAAGAACAAATCAGTTCGTCATTACAAAGATAAGACGAATTTGGAGAGATATCGTGTTCTAACTGTTTCTGAAATAAACCAAAGTTTGTAAACGAATCTGTTTGTTTTATACCGATTTGTCTGGTTCGAGAACTAGTCAGTATATAGATAACCGATAACGTTGACAACATGTATATATAATATTTGGTAGAAAATAATTTTGATAAAGCAATCTTGTAATGAAATACATTTGAATTCTGTGAATTAATAACTAAAATCATCTTTTGATGTCGATTTGATAGCATATAATTGAAACATTGTGTAGCATCAGAAAAAAATTCATTGAATTCATAATCACTTATGTTTGCTATTTCACTTGTTCCAGTATCTAAACAAATCACATTAGTATTTGCAGTTTTATTTTTCAATTGTTCTAGAAGTAAAGTTTCATTTGGAATAAAATATATTTTTCGATGCTTTTTAAAATGAAACCAATAATGATAGAAAGTAAAGTCAAATTTTGTTTGTATAACGTATATTTTTGCAATTTGTGGTTCGGATAGAAGTCGATTCCATAATAAGAATAAATCGTTTTGAACCATGGGTTTTTTCGGATCTGTGATAATCACAAACACTTTCTCTCTTCGATCTCGTAATGACATAATACGATTATAGCAGAGAGCACAATTGGTAAATCTATTGCAGGACACGTCCACATGTTGCCAAAGGTAAGCATAAGTAAAATTTGATACATTACAAAGTCCACCACTACCAAAATCCAGCCAAATAATTATACAATGTTCAGGTACAGGAATAGTAAAATCTTCAGTTAGATTTTCAGATATGATATTGCCCACAATTGAATCTTTGTCGGACATTTTCTACTGAATGCAAATTCTTTATAAAAACAAGCGAATCAATAATGAAAAGAACTAACTTTTGTTTAATTTTTTTGGTTATATCATGCTATATTCAAAATAAATAATTACAGAAAATATGAAGTCTGACTTATATGCAGAAACATGTGTGGCAGATGTGAATGAAAAGAAGATCCATCCTCACCCTTAGAGAGAAAAACGTATTGGCTGTTTTGTTTTGAAATGCAAATTTACGCGCCATCATCAAGGAATCTCATAAGACTTTTAACGCAGAAAAATTATAAGGTAAAAATCAATCTTTTGAAGTTTTTTTCCAATTCTCTAGTGTGAAACGGTGTGATCTAGAAACGGAAATTTACGCGTGTCTGTCTGTATCACAGACATCATATGAAAATTATGGCACAAACGGCCATAGTGTAGGTGTGGTAGCAATGACTATGTAGGATGACAACGGATAGCTAGGCATTAGATTCGTAATTGACTAAGGGTGTGGGTGTAGATGTGCGGTTATTCAATTCATCGACACTCACACATCACACCCACACCCCCATACTCACACCCTGTGATTTCGGTACTATTCATTGGTTTATACAGATAAAAATCGATTAATATCGATTCGATTTTTAATCTATTATTTGGATTACCGCGGATGAAATAGATTTTACTGGATTATTCTTAGAATTTCTTAAAATGGATTTGGCTTTTAAGCAACTTAAGAGGTTTCCATGTAAAAAATCGATTTTAATCGATTCTTTATTAAACTTAATCTAAACGTGCCACATTTAATCGACCTTTTGTCATTATTAGACCCTGGACAGTTCCATATCAGTTCCGTTTTTTGAGAACTGTTCAAACAGTTCTTTGATAGGAACTGATCTGTCCAACCAGTTCTTTTAAAAGAACTGATCTGTGCCTACCAGTTCTTTGATAGGAACTGGTCCGCCCAACCAGTTCTTTGATAGGAACTGATCTGTCCAACCAGTTCTTTGATAGGAACTGATCTGTGC